AGATGAGTGATTATCGTTCTGCTAGCCCGTGGGCCACAGGTTGCCGACCCCTTACCTAGTAAATTATTTTCCCAAATATATAATTAAGATGCACAAATCAGCCTTCATGAAGATTTTGTGTTTTTGCTAATTATGCAAATCACTTCCGTAAGCAATTTGACGATCAAAAGTTTGAATAAGCAAGGCATGACTCTTGGGCTAGTGCCGAGCTATTAGCCAAGAGTAATTTAAGCACAAATATCTATTGAAATGCGAACTGCAGCCAAAATACTAAAATACAGTACTCTGTCTGTCTGTCTGAAAAATGCAGTGAAGAGGAGGAGAGCCCGCGCACAGCTTCATTCAGCGCTCAAAATGGGAGAGGGAACGCGTGCCTGTACCCTCCACTGCATTGCCAAAAAATGTTGTGGGCCAGTGTAGGGTGTTTTCTTCATGCCTACTTCACCACACAACACTTGTGCATTGCAACAAAGCACATTCCATTGGTGAAAATTATATTTAATTTTAATAATAAAATGGAATATATTGAAGGACCTGATTACCTAACGATTGTTAGCTTCTACCACACTGAACAGCATGTGGTAACATGTGTACCGAGAGGGCCATGGCATATATGCTGTGGCACAGTACACTGACCACAGGGTGAATATGATTCTGATACGGTGTGGTTCTAGGTACACATATGAATGCTGAATTCATTATTGTACCATTCAAGATGGTATCCTACATTAGCATATTCCCCACACTCGTCACTTTTACTAGAGGCTTGTAGGTATGAGTAAAATACTGTGACTATAGGTTTGGCTTGTGCCACATTGAACTTTGTATATGCAGTTTGGCACTCATGCCATCACCTATTGATAACAATATGTCTTATGTGCTTCTAAGCTCAGTATGAACCCTATTTTCACTTTCACAGCTTTCACATATTTCCTAGTTCCAATAAACTAATGGATTCTCCTAACAGTTGCTGACTACTCTGTTGAAAATACAAAGAAAACACCTATGGTGTTTCTAACATTATTTTTACTATATGGTTAGGGAATTATTAACAGCTACAGGAAGATGCCGAGACAAACAACTGATAGCCTAGAGGCAAGCAAAACACCAGCAATAGGTGAAACACCAAGAAAAACCGAAGTAAGCACTTACAATGTTGACAATCTAGTGCTCCATCCCAGTTGCTTCCTGTTTTTCTTTAAAGTTCCTATCTCCAGTGAAAAACTTATCAATATGCAAAGTAAGTAGTTGTTTATGGCAGCAGTTTAGGTAGAAGCGGGTGGGTGCCAAGTTTTGAAAAGTGGCTCTAGGCAAGTATGTGATTCAGATATACGAAACTCCATGTAATCAAAGGAACACGGATCCAGAAGAAAAACCCAGAGAATGGAGGAGACACTGACCAATGATTACTAGAAGATATTGATAGGAGTAGACGCCTTCATAAAGAGAATTGTCGACTTCATCCAGACTGATATGTTTTGTGCTGCTCTGCTTGTCTGTGGGGTACTGCACCAACAAACAATTTTCATTGTGCTCGAAATGCATCAAAAATTACTTTACTACAACCAAGTTCAAACTTTTGTGCATCTCATCATTAGACGGCATTGTAGACCATAGTAACTTCAACCTCATACAAGTTGTTACAGAGGGGCTGTTGGTAACCACCATCAAGAATACCCTAGAACTGGGGTGAAACAATCTGTGCGCATGTATGTCTATGCGAGTGTAGGGGGAGGCGGCACTTTTAGACTGCCTAAGGTGGCAAAGTGTTAAGTCCACCACTTCCTTATTGCAAATATGAGACTAGCCCAACTTGGACTTCTGGTCTATCAATTACAAAATGAGATTAGGGACAGTGACAACAGTGCAAATGATGTACCAGACCACTTGCACAAATGAATTGTAGGAGAATACGACTGCAGAAGCTGCCCCATTATACATGAGTACAGCAAAAAGTATTACTTATAAAAAAGCTAGTTGTGAAATTAATAAAAACTAAAGGTAAACATGATTCTCTACAATACAGGGCATCCACTTGTTGACCAGAAAACTTGTCAAAGGATGGTGTTGCTCATGATACCCATTCAGCATTTTGAAGCCATGCCTAGGAGCACTTAGACTTGTTGTAAACACACAGTTGATGAGAATGGTCTTAGTGTTGCTCTTATCAGAGCCTGCAAGGCGACTGTTCGGTTGGCATAGCTAGGAAAACACACCAATGCCTTACAGCTTCAGATCCACAGGAAGTACTGCTTCGATCAGTTCAAGCACCATGTTATGAAGAATTGCTGTTGCCACAATGCCAGAAAGTGCAGTGTCCAGTTGTCAGGCTGAACTTGAAATCAGGAAAACAGCCATTTCTCTGCATCCTACTGCCCTTCCATAAGGTGGATATGTCTATGTATGCATACACACAGCCACTGGTGTAGCAGGAATTATATTTGGGGGGGGGGGGGAGGGGGGGGCTTTCTTTCATATTTGCGTATAGTAGTCAATGTACTGTACGACTGACGGATACAGGCACAGCCGTCCCAAACCGTCGGGTGGTAGTCCTTCAATATTTGTCTTGCTTTACTAACAAAAAAAAAGAAAAAGTGATGATTTCAGAGAGGGAGTTTGGGGGGAGGGGGGGGGGGGCAGGTTTGACCTTTCAAACTACCCCCCTGCCTGTGCCACTGCACACAGCATTTTAAGCAAACAAAATGGGAGCACATAGTTCAAGGGATGTTGAACAAAACTTTAATGCATGTGATAGTCACAGCATGCAACTGTTTTCAAGGGGGGTCTTAACCACCAACATTAAGATGCAAACATGAGCCCTGTCTTTCCTCCCTAAGGCAATCGTCTCTGGTGCTGCAACTAGTGTCATGATGTCGTGTAACCAAACGAAGCCTTCATCTCATAGGAAAAGACCAAACCTGATCTCTTTCAACATCTGCCTTAAAAGCCCATTTGTTAAAAACAATGCTCCTATCCAGTGATTTGGATACTGTACCAGAATGCTTCCGATCAACAGCTGGTGGACCAACTTTTTCTGCACAGTGCGCCTACCGCAACTGAGATCGGCATGTTCTACCGTTGGTGACTGCATAGAAAGGGGTGTGCAGTCACCACAGAAATGACACCTTTAAATGGCTTGATTGTGTCAAACCCTTTGGTAATGGAAGTACGTATATTTTGTGTTAGTGAAGGGGAAAGAAGGTATAACTACCAATACACCAAAGCGATACTACTGGTAGATAGATCCCTTGATGATCGTACAAACTGTCATTTTCGAACACGCAAAGGTCACCCAGAACCGTTTTTTCTTTCTTTAATTTTCTGCTGATAGAGAACCAGAAGCTCGTTCGCGAGTGATATAGGCAGATCTGGAGTTCATACAAATAGACGGCGGCAGACTTCGAAGTACGAAAACTCCCACTAGTACATCACACCATGCCGATGAGAACGATCGTCTCTTCGCATCACCGGCCCCAGCCTGCCCCAATACAGCGCTGAACGAATCTCGTATTGTAGTCGTTACGGTTTGTCGTCGCCAAAATATTCCTAAAAAGCTCGATCACCAGAAAAGTTACGGTTATGAAACGATACAGTTTTCTGAAGCCAAGATTCTACTCGCGAGACAAGGAACATTCACTGAAGATTGTCTCGAAACTCAGAAAACCACAAAAATTTAATTTTTGCTATTTCATTATTTAAAAGCGCCGCAATCTGATGCAAACGGCAGAGGTGTCGAGAATCAGCTGATCGCCGAGATCATGTACTGCCACTATTCAACGCGCTGATCGGATTGAAGGATATGCGTTGCAAGCGGAAATAAACAAAGTGGTAAATAACAATACGTTACAGTTATGCGAAAATCAGAAAGTACAAACGAATAAGCTTGTTGACAGAATCAATAGAGTTGGTCGTGGACAGAATAACCAACGCGAAGACAGACGTGAGCCCTACAGCTCCGTACGTATCTCGGTTAGGGCTAACACGCACTGAAAGTGGAGAGCCAACTTTAAAACAGGGGTCGATAAACACTTCACGCAACGATATTTTGAATCCTTGTCACAATCGAAGGTCATTCTGTCGAAACTCTCACGCTGTTGTAGCCTAAAACACTTTGTACAACCAATTTCGTTCACCGCGTCGACCGCCACAAACCAGCCGCCATGTTTTTAATCCAGGATTAAGAAACAACCAAAAACTAAGCGCCCAATGTTGAGCGCTTAAGTTAAGCGTAGTTTAGTGCTGGGTTTAGCGATAAGCGAGTTTGGTGCAACCGAACGAAACCAAAACTTAGCTTAAGTTCCCGGCTAAGCTCCGCTTTGCGCTAAGCGGCGTTGGTGCAACCGGCCCTAAAAAGAATTCTGCGCTGACTTTGTTGTGCACCACGTAGAAAATCTGCGACGTTGAGATAAGTTCAGGAAGAGTGTAGCACAGATACAGAGACGCTCCTAGCGCAAATGACACTGCATTTGGACAAGCATTTGTGGAAAAGTGAGAAAACAATATGAGCTCGAAATCCAGGGCCGGCTTGCTCGAAGCAGAGTCTCAGTTGAGATTGCTCAAAGAAAGCGCTGTCAAGGCTAGCGCTCGAGCTTAAGCCGAGTCTCAGACGCTCGCGTGCCCAAGCCTTGGCAGCGCTTTCTTTGAGCAGTCTCAACTGAGACACTACTTCTAGCAATCCGGGCCAGGTGTCTGCACCGCTACTTGTTTTCTCGATGACATTCGACCGCGTGAATTAAATACGTTTGTGTCCGAAACCCCATAAATAGTCTCCATTGCTAATTTTATTCAATTATATATATATATAATTGAATACCCGGCCTAAATTTCAGAATGATTTTCAAAAAAAAAAGTATAATTTTCCCTTGTTTATAAGCTTGAAAAATTGCAATAATTTCTTACACTCGGACACTCCAAATACACCCCCCCCCCCCCTTTCCGAAACGATGGACATTGCTATAGGCGCAGTACGGACAAATAGGAAGAAGAAACCGGGGTCTGACCTTGGGGCTGGAGATGGTGGCGATTGCGACGCTGAGCCGTTTTTTCATTCCGCCTGACAAGGTGTTGCAGAAGCTGTAACATTTGTCGGACAACTTGACGGTTTCGAGAACGCGGGAAATCTTCTCTCGTATCACGGAGTGATGGACACCTTTCAGCTGAAACGGAGGAGTCCTTCAAACTATAAACACTGCACTTCATAAAAAGAGAAAGAAGGCTTTAAAGGGACGCTGAATCGAAATCTGGATTCCCCAAAAAACGCGGCAAAATCGTGCAACGGCATGCTACAAACACCAAAACATCACTCATACAGCGATACCTCGAACGGATGACCGTATTTTTTAAAAAAAAAAGAGGCGCATTTGGCAGGAATGTTGACGTCATGTTTCTCCGAGAGGGAGAGGGAACGGCCTCGCGTCTTCTCCGCCTCGCGGCCTTGGAGAGTGAAGCGAAGAGAGGAGGAAACTAGGTATCTTGACAGTCACGCGCCTCGTCGGCCTGGTTCAATCTCGACTTCTTTTTCCAAAAATACGGCCGTTCATTTGAGATATCGCCTTACTAGTAGTGGTGTAGGGATTGTAGCGTCCCGCCTACATCTCCAGCATTGTTTTTTTGAAATCCAATTTTCGGTTCACCATCCCTTTAAAGGGTTTTTGCTTGCACTAATTTTGTGTAAACCCGTTCGGTTTTACGTTTAATTATTAGGACCATTTTGGGGTACGCGGCATGCCAGTTAAGCTACTTACAGAGGGATATTGCTCAACAAGGCAAATAAATCTAAGAAACTCGGTACCACAATAAGCGACAGTGAAAGTGGGTGCGAAAGCGGCTGCTTACAACAGTGAATCAACCGTCGAACACTTCGAGACACAATAGTTAGTATAATAGGTAATATGGTAATTACTCGACGTCGCGGCAAGTTTTCTGCTTCATTAAAGTTTTCGATCTGCTCGACTCACTTGAAATGACATGAATCGCGTTAAGATCAACCAGACACCGACTCATTCCTGCTCTCTGGAGCCGGAGCTGTCGCGATATTGGAGGATTAGAAACCGAACTACCGCTATAAGGAGCGTGGACGAAAACATAAATATTTATTTTACTATTCTTATCTATAAAATTTTGTGCGATATATTCGACCTCAAAAGTTTAAGCTACATGCCCTTCACGTTCCACGCTGCCTTGTTTGCGCTGTCAACGAATTTCAGATACTAAACATTGTCCATCCAGATTGGTAACCATACCTTCTGCCGAACTTCAGAGAACTCAAATTAAGGTGGTAGATCGGAGGTTTTGAATTTTTCTTGCCCTCAGATGATCTTAATACTTAGACTCACGACCATATGCGAACTCGGTAGTTCAGCTGAAGTATACTTCAGCGTACATATATATATACGGCGTTGCTTTGAAGCGTCGCTGCATATCTCCCTCCAGTCGAAGGAGGTTCTAGTCTTTTACACTCAAACTTCTTTTACATGTTCCCGAGATGCTATCAAAACACAAAACTCTATCGTCTTGCATTAGAACGCCGATAAGCGCAATGTCGCGAATTAATTCGCCAATTCTTTAAAAAAGTTGGTTCTGAAGGCGTTTAATGTGTCTGTCTGACTGCGGTATAAAAATGTCCACTTCTTTCGTCACTGAGACTGTTTGGATATTCGACTACGATACCGTCTACCTGCCTCATTTGTCTAACTGCTTAGATCATTGGTTCGTCCGTCGAGCGCGTCATAGGGTTGTGTACAGGCAGGAAATTTAGTCAGTATGAAACACCAACACTATCGTTATTAATAATGAATTATTTTTACTGTAGTCAGCGACAACAGAAAAATCGCAAGGCAGTTACGTTCACTCGCTTCACGACTGGAAGTTTAGAATTCGGCTAATGCGGCAATCTTATTGGCTGCGCGGTGAATCTGCGTCACTAGAGTTACTCACAGCCTAAGGGACGTGGGGAGTCTTAGACATCTTATGATCGCTCCACAGATAATTCCATTGCGGCATCAAGAACGCCGAACGAAGAATCACCAATCAAGAATCTTAATGGGCCCTACTTTTCTTAAGAGTGGCCATATAGTTTAGAGGTTGATATATTTGGCGGGACATAATGGTTATGTCGATGTAGGCGCATGCGATGGCGTTCAATGCCCTACCGATCCAAAGAACATGAGATGTTCCCAGACTGTGAGGTCGCTGAAGAAAACATTGTGCTGCTGGCAGAAACTGACATTCTCACGAGCTCTCTCGGTGTTCTTTGCCACGTCGATACCGCAGACAATCACCTTTCCTTTGGTCGGAGAAAACATACCTACGCGATGGAAAGGTAATGAACGTTATAGGCACTCGTATTCCACATCTCGAGCAATAGCAAAGACTAAAATCTCTATAGCGAAATTGCACTCTTTCCAAGTTGTTGATTTTAGCAAATAATTTCACAAATTGGTTACGTACCAATGCGATGCTGGACCTGTTTTATTTTAGTATATAGACAAAAATAAATGGAGTAAAGTTTTGTGACCGCTGCCTTAACCAATGGGAAGCGTATAAAAGGGCATGAAAAATGGTCCCCTGACTATTTTTATTTTGAACTTCCTGGTATAATATTTTATGTAAACAAACAAACAAACAAACAAACAGAAAACCCTGGAATTATTTCGAGTAAGCTAGAGAACTATCCCGTTCAACATTGTAACAAAAAGAAGGAGCGACAGTCATAAAATGTTGATTTTTAAAGAAAGCAAAATACCTTAGATGTTTAATTTGAAACACTTTCTTCATTCAAAAACTATTCCGCAAGTTTCGCTCTAAAAAAATTAATCAGGCATAAATTCTTTATTGCTCGACAAGCCATTAGATTGTGCCCAAAACGCTTATACATATTGAAATAAAAATGTCCCCATCGCCCTCAGTGTATGCTTAGGAAAAATGTCCCACAATTTTTATTGCTCCGTTATTTTGTTCGGTAGGTGAGCATCGAGAATGAAACATTGAAAATATGCTTTTCATCCCAAGCGTTGTAATAAGAGGAACGAATTTTAACCACCATCTTGAATTACATTATCAGGTATCTAGTTGTATTATATAATATATATTTCTGTGCTGCTGACTTTTTGCAAAATATTTTTTCTTTCAATAGAAATACACATTTTGGGCATTAAATACGTTTTTGACAAAGAAAGTTATGTAATAAATTGTAAATAAATAGGCAAAAAAGCGTGTATTTTGTTACCGGTAACAATATTCATCAGGGTGGTTTTGCCAGCTCCGTTGTGACCGAGAAGCACCGTTATTTGGCGCGGATACGCTTTCAAGTCAACGCCGTCCAACGCCTTGAGTTCACCAAATTCCTGTAAGATGTACAGGAGAAAGGATCGTTTCAACTGAAGTAGGAAATAGGTTATTGTATTCTAGTGGAAGTTGATCGACGTAACCAACCGAGCTGGCCCTGTTTGGAAGTCTCTGGAAAATGTAGATGTTTTAAGCCAAAACATTGCGACGTGACGCAGACGGCTCATGTTCTTTTCTCGAAGTGAAATGTCTTTATTACAATCGTCTGTGTGATTTTTTTTTTTTATTTAAAGGAATGCAGTTTTATTTCCTCCTAAACAAGAATTTCTGAAAAGTGGTTGATTTCACTACGAGAAGTACTAATAAACTCCGCTACGTCGAAGTTTTACGAAAACCTAAATGTTTTTATGTGCTGTGGTTCTGACCATGGTCATGAAACGAAACCAAAACTTCGAGTGAGGTGGGAATTATTGACCCCGTGTTGTCACCGACATGAAACACCCGCGTGGTGTACACGTTATCTCGTGTCTTGTTTTACACCTGGAAGATTGCAAGGATGTGTCACAGTGCTCGTAATATTGGTGATGTATTCTCATGAAAAAGCAGCAGGTTCTGTGGCGACAGCGAAGAACGCCGTTGAAGCTGCGTGTTCTCCGCAAACTCGTAATCCTTGTAATGCTCAGTAGGATGTAATATCCACCGCAAACACGAGATAATACCAGACTAAAGTGGTTACTAGCACGTCGCCTGGTATGTGTGTTGGGCACACGATTATAAGCAGGGCCTCTGGTATTACTAAAGTGGCTGTATCCTGGGAAAGTTGCGACATTGCCTTCCCTGCCTGCTAGCCGGAGACAAACATGTAATAGCATACAGACGGCTAAACTTCGGAGGATGAGTGACCGATTGGTCTCAGTTATTATGGCAAATTGCCATTTCGGTCTTTTCAGATCTCGGAAGCTTCGATATGGTCGGTCTCAAACAGTTGCGCCATGATGGCTACGGAGCATTATATGCGTACTGAAAGCGTTCGTCACCAATAGAAACGTCTTGGGCACTGTGTATGTGATGAACTTATCAACCATGCTTATATCTATAGATTTCTTACAATTGTACTGTTCTCGCGGAATTAAAGACAGGAAAAGTATTTTTCAATGCCGCCGAGCACCGACGCCACATGTGGCGGCGGAGGAAGAATGGGCACTTTGTTTCGCCGAGATGTCGGTAACAAAATCTCGGATTCAATAAATGTCTTCATAAAGCAACCTGTAACCGGGAATTCGGATTGGACGCGTTCAGTAGCGGCCCCTGAGTCAAGGAGTCACTGACTCCTTCCACTGGACGGCCAAAAGTCACTTCCGGTGCACGTAACTCCGGGGCTTCGGAGTCAAACTCCGAAGCCCAGAGTCTGGAGACGGTGCACGTAGAGTCAAAGGAGCTAAAGATGACGTCATTTCCTGACTGGTGACGGTTTCCGGCGCTAAAAGAGAAAAACAAATTGGTGGGATAAGCTGCGCCGGTTCTGTCGCAGGTTTGCGGTTTGCTCGTTTTTGTTAATGAAATGTGCTGAAGGTAAGACGAATAACACGTTCGAATACTTCTCCAGGTAGGGCTCTTTTCGGAAAATGCATTGGACCCTATTTTGTTGGGTGTGAATAGGCTAATAAACAGCGTAAACGTTCATTTGACGCCGTGTCTTGATCGCCGTTGCACGGAAACTCGGTGAATATTGACGATAGTCCTGTCCGCGCTGAACAGAGCAAGGCAGGGTATGAACGCGCATTCGGTAGCCGGTTAGACACTCACGCACAGCATGATCCCGATTGATGTTTTGTTTGCGTAGCTAAATCGGGGTGCACGTTGGCCAATGTTACTAAAACACTCAGTTGGGAAACTCCCATAGAGACAGCTTCGAAAAAGTGGCCCCAATCTGTCTTCGAGCACCGAGCTAATGACGAACACAACGCCACCATTTCTCCCGCAGCGGCCACTCGAGGAACTGCACGTGACTTCTATTTTGGCGATAAGAACAGATATAGCGGTAGAGGTTACCGGGGTACCACCCCCGTCACCCCGGCGGACGCGCCGCGTCGAACTGCCGAAGTTAAAATGCACCTAGGTCGGAACGCGCAACCTGAAAGGCCCGCTGAGGCATGGTTGTATAAAAACAATATTAATAGTTCCGCAAAACCTTGCGAACTAAAGATGATAAAAACATCACGCGCCCATCATTTGGTACTAAACTCCAATAAATTTCATACAAAAAGAGTATTTTCCGTTTGTTTTTACGCAAAAACAGGCTTTCAAAAAGTTCGAGGTGACCATAGTACAGACAAACGAAAAAGAGTGGCGCTGTTGTCGCATTTAGCTCGGTCTCGGTGGACGCCAGCGGCCCAGGTTTCGACTTCGAGTTTCCCAACTGAGTGTTTTAGTAACGTTGACGTTGGCTGACGCTGACGCTCTCTTCGGCCGACAAAACCTTGATCGCCGAGCACGGCCGAACTTCCCGTGTGTATACGGATACATTTTGTATGAAGTTCGTTCCGAAGGGTAGAACAAACGTATGGCCGTATAAAAGTATCGCAACCGGCGGCGTAGATTCGCCGAGCCTTATATTTTGCGTGTGCTGACGACGTTTTTGTTGGTTTTTATAACAGTAGCTGCTTTTGCACCGCCAAGCGAAGGGCTCGATCGGGTTGCATCGCTTTGAACAGCAGCGCTGATGTGTACAGTCACCCGCTTTTTCTTCAACGACTTTGTCAAGACTTCTTCAATACCGGCGTCAAATAAAAGCGACCGTGCTCGCCATCATCTGCTTCCAGTTTATTCGGAGACCGTCTGGCACAGGGGAGGAAGCGAAAGTTGCGGAGAAGCAGGTTTTGAGCCGTGGTTTATTTTATTTTTTTTTTTTTTTTGCCGTTCAGTAGGCGATTCGAAGACTCCCACTCGGGTGACTCCGTTCGGAGCTGAGGGAGCCGCTACTGAACACGCCCATTGGCTCAACAAAAGAGAAATTGCTTATTCCATGAACCAAAATGTCGGCCATGCGAGGAGCTTGGCTCTACTTTCCCAGTATTCGGTGACTTTAGACAATATTACCTAGAAGTAAATGATCCCGTAGGCCTCAATGTGTAGAATATTTAATAATGCTCGCGACTCTAGCGTAATCGACGGCACCCAGCGGCTAGGGCAGAAAGCTGGGGCGGCATGTTTGCCCTGCAGCCTTTTCGAGTGAATCAGATGTACGCAGCGCCTCGCGGTCAAAAGAAGAAGCGCTGAAAGTAGTTTCAAAAACAAGGGATGAAAATCGGCGATAGACTGAGGTATTTGGATTCTAGTGCATAAACGTTTTGATTAAAGATTGGTTTTTTTACGAACTGCTCATTGAAGAAAGAGTAAGTAAACAGACGAGCTAGTTAATGTTACACAGATTTGAAAAAAAAAAAAAAAAACCGTAGACGCCGGAGTAAGAATGGGACAAACACAAAACGTCTCAACTTCAGACGTCTTGTGCTTCTCCCGTACTTCGTCCGCCGTCTCAGGTTTTTTCAGATATGTGAAACTCTTCATATGGGCAGGTGTTCGCCTCAGCGCACTTAGAAACCGTATATAAGAAACGCGAGGGAAGCTCGACGTAAGTAAACAAATAAATGTGCTCGCTCAAAAAAACGCGGCAGCAGGTGGGGTGTGAAACTTTATTCGAAAAGTGTTCAAGGTAACAGTAGGGGCACACGCCAACAACGAACAGCAACAAGTCCAGCGGACCGTGCGTAACACATAGCTATCAAATCCTATCCGTAATCGAAAACTTCCTCCTCCTTTTTTTAGCTGTTAGCGTTGGTACTTTTTTCCTTGTCCTTTTTCTTGCGTAAAACGTGCGCATAATTGTAAATAACAACGGCGAAAACCTTCTTCTGATTTATTCCGGGAGCCGTATATCAGTGTCTGAAGCAAGAACGAATGTTTTGTGTATATATCTCGCGAACAATGTTCCTGAAACAGCGAGTGCATCCAAGCGGACGCAACGTTCGTGGCCCTTCTGAGATTTCCAAGATGTTTAATTTTGAATTTATGACTCGTAAACAGGCGAAGGCCCGTTCACGCACTTGCAAGCGAATAGGACTGGCCGAGACAAGACCGGTTTTTGAACATCTTGCCACGGTATAGGGCCTAATCCGCAGCAGCGCAACCAGCCCTAGCCCGTCGCAAGAAGCTTAAAAACCGGTCTTGTCTCAATCGCTCTTACTCGGTTCCAAGTGTGTGAACGGGCCTTTAAGTACAAACTCGTCTCTTTTACGCCACGCCCCGGTGACGGCTCTAGGGCGCACTTACGGCCTGGAGGTGTGGGCAAGAAACGCCAGGCGAATCGGGCACTGCTATCTTATTTTGGAAGAAGCGAGAGAAAACCCGGCTTTCTCGTCAGAACGCTGTAGTGTTGTGTAGACTGGGGCTCCACCGAAAGAACCGTGAAAAAGTCGAGATGAATGCTTGACGCGTTTAATTTTTCCGATAACGTGGATAGCAGCCGTATAAAAAAAAAAACAAAAAAAAAAACGAGAAGCCGTCGGACGACAATCGTCTGAGCGGGAACCGTTTTGCTACGGGTGAATGCACGGAGAAATGTTGTCGAAGGAATTAATTTACTTGATATGTTCCACCATGAACGCGTGAGAATTGTCATGTAGTCTGGAACACCGAGAGTGTACGCTGGGAGTGTCTTGGCGTCGCAGGGAACACAACCCGTAGACCCTGTCGACTACCTACTCGATGTCGGTAGGCCACCGAAGACTCGTAAACTCGTAGAGTCCGAGGTAAGTCGATTCGATACAACACTCGAGCTCATGCTGATCTCTATAACGAACGTCATTGCCGATTCGTTCATTAGCGTGCATTCTGCGCCGCCTACGCGGTAGACTCTAAGAAATCTGGGGCTCTGCTCTGCCGCAAGGCATTTGGGAGAGCTGCAATGTACGGAAGCAGACGCTCCAGATTTTTTTAGAGTGTAAGGATCGCCGTACGTCACACCACTCAAGCCAAGTTTGGCGCTGCAGTAAGTCTGGTTTATTTTGTGGAGGCCACTATATATAGTAGTTAGACGTTGCTAGGAAGACGTACAGTCCACAATACGAACGCAGAAAAGAGAAAGAGATCCGCACCGATAGCAAAACATCGCACCCCAATGATTTTTTTTATGCGGACACCACTCTTTTTTTCTGCACCGCATCGCTTATGCGCGGCACCGCGGTTGCCGCTATTGCTGGACTGATTCGCATGTACGCGTAAGTTGTTTTCTAAATATATAGCGGTCAAAGAAGCCGCGTTACTCAGGCATACGACAAAAGGTAATTACGGCGAAGCTTCAAAAATTCAATTATCCACAAACATCGGCCGACCTTTCTCAGTCCTTGGACCACCAGGACAGGCTTTTCTTCTCTAGGCTCGTCTTCGAAGCGCGTGTGACTGAGTACTTGTGGAGAAGCAGGTACCGTTTTGATGTGCCGCTCTGGAAACCAGTAGCCGAACTGCAAAGTGACATGTATAACAAAGAACGCTGTAGTTTTCAAAATGCATTTAGTTTTTTTAAAGGCAACCCATAACACCGCCTGCGTTTCTAGAAACAAACAAATAAAAGACCCGTTCTTCTACAAATTGGCAAATGTTGTCGCTAGAGACTTTTAGCTGAATGATATACACTTTTTATCACCCTATAATGTATTGGCGAGGAGATGGAACTATAGGTGAACCTAATTGTCCAACTTTTTTTCCATATTGATGGCTATACGTACCTAAGAGAGCACTCTCGATTCTTCACTTAAGCATCATCAATCGAGCGCGGTGCAACAAACTGGACAGGAGTAAATGCCTCAGCGTTCGACTAGAACTCCAATTGAATCGCACAGACCGAGCACGAGCCCTGGCCAAACGGTGAAACGGAGTTCGGCTACGTCAGCCGAGCGTTAGCTAACAAATAATTCGTGTCGTTGTTGTCGTCACCATTGGTTTAGTACTCAATTTAGTCGCCATGAGGCGCGACAGTAGGATCTCTTCTCCTATAGTGTAGGGGTTAGAGATGCCAGTTGATGGAAACTACTGTTGCAGCTTCCTTTTGTAAACAAGAACCCAAGCGTAGAGTTTACAGCACTCCAACTTCTCGCTCAGCGATGAACATACCGTTTTTTCATAGTCACAGCAAGTTACAACGGGAGAGCTTAACCCTTATTAGAGCGGCGCAATTAAAACCAATCCAACTCCAATTAGCAGTCCCGACGAGCCGTACTTCGCTAAATGCAAGCAGCGAGCGCTGCAGCAATAGAGCGTCTCTGAGGCACAACATACGTTAACAAGCAGACGTAAGCACAGATTGTCCTGTTGATTCTTATTTATAGCTCTGACATCCAAGAGAAAACGCTATTTTCTGTAACAAGCAGGCCCGAACACAGAAAAAGACGACGCCCATCGCTGTTTTTACGTTCTTGTTATCGACAGAAGAACGATTGACTTCTTTTAACGCCAGTCCGACCTTTCCTTACCGTGACTGGGAAGTAGAAGGGCTGTGGGATTCCCGCTGTCCAGGGAAAAATCTTCGTAAAATACCACAGAAAGAGTGCGATGGTTACGCATGTGGCCGCCATGACAGACCATATTTCCAGTATGGAGACGTTGTCCATTTCCAAAACATTCTTCGTTATCAACTCCCAGTTGGCGCTACCTATAAGTCATACAATAAGCAGTAATGCAGGCTAGCGTTGGCATTATTAAAACAAATATTTGAGGTGTCAAGAAAGCACTCCACTCCCTCTCCCCCCACCCCCCAAAAAAAAAAATAAGAAGAAAATGTTGACCTTTTTTCAGGCTTAGCGAAAGTGTGCCCACGTAGGTTATTGTTGGAAATATCGCCTGCTTAACCACGCCTTAATTTAAAACAGCGTTCACTAATCCGAGCTGTACCACCCCAGACCGTCGAATAGCTCTTATTAAAATCTTGCAGTCCTAACCCGTGAGCTTGCCACTTAAAACATGCGAATCGCAAGGTCGTCTGCTTCTTGCACGGGGGTAGTGATAATGCCAGAACGCCAAGCTCTTATTGGCTGATGGAAAACAAAAGATAATGGGTAGACCTCAAGGCGCCTAGCATCGAGGTCTACCCACTGTCCTTCCGATCCAAGCCAATCAGAGCTCGGCGTCGCTATGACGTCAACGCAACTCCTACGCAAGAAGCAGGCCACTTGTTCTCCGTATAGACATTTCCATCGCTTATCCCTCGGGTGCAAAATGCTGAGTCACTGAGCTGTAGACGCATGCGCACAGTCTGAAATACCGAACAACAGAGCAACAGCGCATGCTCAAAAGGCGTCCCACAGCTCAGCAGACCAAGATGGCACCTCACAGAACCCGACTTTTGCAAAGGTCTATAGCTTACCGAGGAAAACCTAAAGACTTCAGCATCTTAATAACTAGTTAGCTGCCAAGATAAGTGATTGGACGTAAGGGAGGTGCCATCATATGTTTTAGAAACTATGTTTTCGCCCTGGAGCATATCTGGATTTTGGAATTTTATTTTTATAATGAACTTAAAAGTCCATCTTGAGGGAGTTTAATGCGTTCCCTAATAAATCAATACCTCCATAGAAGTTATTTTTACAGTTATTGAAAGGCCCGGCCCAATTTGCTTTACAGTAAAAGATGGTGTATGAACATTACGAACAGACTTAAATAAAAAAAATAAAAACGAAGTTTACCTTCGCTTAATCCGCCTTTTTGATATCCTGGTTCTAGAGCTTCTGGTATGAAAACATATATTTGTGTTCTATGAATTCACGAGCGACCACGACAGGCTTTTAAGCGAGATGCTCGTGACAGAGGTCGTGGAGTGCACGCGCGTTCTCTGCTCAAACACCTCGACCTAGCGATTAAAAAAAAAAAGGTGGATTTCATGCGTTCCTTTTGCCCGCCTGTGCGCCGGTAATTTCCGGAGCACCACAAATCTAGACGAAATCCTTCGTCATCCATGAGGGCTATACTACAATTATAAAATTTTCCTATAAAAACAAATGTAATTATTCAACTCCTACATATTGCAAAGTCTAAAAAAAAAAAACAATATGGTTAGATTGACAAATGACAGTCTGACAGGTAAAATCCAAACCTCCACCTGTGTAATCGACGGAGAGGCCGATGATCTTGAGCACCCAGTAGGTGCCCAGGCAAGGCGTGGCAGAGGACAACAGTTTAAAATGTCGATCGGCGTAGATGTAAGCCCCGAGTGGAGATTCGAAGCCTTCGACCATTTGCCAGGGCAGGAAGAGGGTGAGCGGAAACCAGTAGATGACGCCAAATGTGACCGCTATGCTGGCTGCGGAATTCATGGAATTTATTGCAGGGAGCAAAACAAAAGACCATCATCACACACTCTCATATCTCTCCGAGGTTATACTCTACTACAGCGAATTCTGCATAACTGTTCTTCCTTGAATCAGTTAAATAAATAAGAAGGGCAGGGGGTGTCCTGCTCCAACACCATGGATTCACTCTTACCGAAAAAAACAAAAACAAAAAAACTTCTGTAGTATTTTGGTTATACCTGACAAAAACTCATACGTTGAATACGTTTTTTAGTTAAAAATTTGGTGGAATCGCTTTTGTACAGTAACTTTCCTACCGCGGCTAACAAATAAAAACCGTTGCCTATAACAATGGTCATATTTCGCTTGAGCCAGCCAATAGGGGTCAGGCGCCACTCGTTGTGTCCCACTCCCATTGGCTGGTGTATTTTTCACCGGGTCGTAAAGCTTTGGCGTCTCACTTTTGTGTCTTGCATTTTCCCCAAAATAATTTCGCTAAAAGCCTATTCTCGGTCAAAAAGAGTGAACGTTTTGTTTTAGTCCCTCATAGTGCATGGATATTGGGTCACAATACAGCTCGTCATTCCCATTGATGGAATTTATTAAATAAAAACCAACGACTGGCGTTCCGAGTGGGATTGCGGATAAGTATTTCTCCAGGAGTTCCTGAGACTGCATTTAAGGAGGACGGGATCCTTACAATAATCAAAGTTACTAGGCTAGATCAAGGTCAGTTGACAAGCTTCCTAGAACACCTGGTTTCTTTTCGTGGCGTGTCTGTTCCGTGGCGCTGTTAGTCCGCCTTGCGGACAAAAGTGGCGGAACCGATAACACGCTGGATGCGCATCGCCTGCGGTGGAAACTGATTTTATGTGGCTTTGATAATGAGCCTAAAGTTTCTGCAAATATTTGCTCTCCCCGCGGGAGTGGTGCTCGCGTGCGGGCAACAGAGAGGGACCGTTTTCGAATGTCTCACTTCCATGGATCTTGTCAACTGATAGACCCAACAACGTAGCCGATAAGCAGGGTCGACGCCTTCAACGCACCGTGTCTGAAGAAGCTGGCGACGAGCATCGCATGCATGGTGTAGAGGCAGCAGAAGAAGAAGAAGGTGACTGCCAGCAGGCTCACGCTGGTGCGCTCTAGGGGAAAGTAAGACACCTCTTTCTTGACCAGTACCATGCAGGCGATGACGAGTCCGCTGCTCAAAGTGCCCGCGATGACGCCGGTCAAGTAATGCCCTAACCAGTATGCAGACTCGAGGAGACCCATCAGACGCAAAACTTCCTGAATGGAGAAAATAAAGGGACAGTGAACGAACGAACAGGAATCTGGCAATGGAAGGGCCCTGTGTAATGGATGCGCGTTTTAAGTCTGGGACTAAAGTCGTTTTCACCCCAAGAACCGTAGTAAAAAAAGTACGGTTTCTGGCGGAGCATTACTTATTTTCGTCTTTATACTGAGAATTGAGATATATGTTGGTGCATTTTAGATTAGATTCATGTTATCTTATCAAGACTTACACGTTTCAAACGCCAAAAGCCTCGCTTCTGCCTCCGACACGCAAATCTTGTAAGAACTACTTCTCACGGCGTATGAACATTGAGCAAAACGTCCTTTTTTCTTGAGGTGCAAACGGGTATACTTGCACTAAAGCCTTTTTATACGGAAAAGTAGCGACAACCTTTGAAGATTGCCGCCTGCTATCTTGGGCCAAACCATGCAGCGCTACCGTCGACGCCCGGGTGTAAAAAAAGCAAACATAAAGGTAAAAGGTGTGGGCGTTAGAGAAGGACGGAGAAGGAGTGACTATGTTGTTGAAGTGCAGTGCATGCTATGAGCTTATGTCGTCAATCAAATAACGCCGAATGTGCAACGTCACGGCTTTCATAGTCTTTCTTTGAGCACATCCTTCGAGGCTGGTAGACCGTGACAGTGCGCGCTTTTCGCCTGTGTGTATGTGTTTGCGTGTTTTCCAGCCATTGACTGCGCTCTGACTCCAAGTATAGGAAAGCCGTCTACTATCTTGGGTTAAACCAGGCGGCGCTACAGTCGACGCGCGGGTGTAAAAAAGCAAAACATAAACACAAAAGGTGTGCGCGTCATAGGAGGAGGGAGATGATGTCGCTACCTTTTTTATTCGGGGCACTAACTTCCACGTGCGAGCAAAATAAAAAGTAAAGCAAGCTGGCTCATTTTCTTTACACATTTTGATAACCTGAGGAATAGGTTATCCATCACTTATTATACTCAGCGTCACTGATATTTGGGAGGAGCAAGCTCAGTGAACGACAGCTACCTTCTGATAATATTATGCTTCGATGTAATTAAATGACTTTTTCTTTAAATGAGAATCACGGTCTCTTCATAAGCGCTGCCGAACGTCGTTTTTGTTCCCGTCATCAATTATCTTGTTTCCCAAATTCCCTAAAATGGCTTCTCTCTTTTCACTAGGCAGCACAATTAAAGAAGGGAAAGATATCTTGTTCTGCTCAAAACTATTTGGGGGTTCGGTCTTCACAAGTGTGGCACCGCAGTCACGGACAGCTTAAAAAATGCAACTCGTGGAAAATCAATATAATCTTATTATAGCTAGACAGCCAAGTCGATTGCGGGTATTATAAGGCCGAAGAATGAAGCAAGAAGCCTTAACATAATACTCCCGCGCTTCTCTACTTTTTACGATAATTTATTTTTCTTTCGGTTCTCGTGCCCATTTACCAGTATTGTCTTCCTAATGTTTCTTTCCCCCTGTGCTCGGGCTATACTCCGTTGAACGCTAAGCTGACAGGGAGGCGGAAGCTACGTTTTCTTTAAGCCAGTCAACCGTACACTAAGCTGACAGGGCGGCGGAAGCTACGGTTTCTTTAAGCCAGTCAACCGTCGGTCTCGTACCATCTTATCACGCAAAAGTTGAAATACTCTGGCGCAAAAAGCCGGGTCAGGCGACTAAAGGAATACCACGTGGACGAAAAAAAAAAAGACGTTTACAATTCTCTGTAATGCCGAATTAGAGCGCAGCTCTTGAGAAGGAGGAGGAGAGGGTAGGGCGAGGAGGGCAAATCCCTCCTTCTCTCCTGATACTCTCGCATTAAAAGAAAATTCTCGCTAAATTTACCGCTAAATTATGCAAAAATTTTCCCCGCTAAATTTAGCGGGGAAATATTCGCGCTAAATTTAGCTCGAAATTTACCAACATTTTCGCGCTAAATTTAGCGGGGAAACTGATTTGATGTTGAGGTCACGTGACGTCAATTTGCCCCCCTAAGTTTAGCGGAAAATTTTACCCTCGTGACGTGACGTGACGTGACGAAATTATGGGACACGTCCCATAATGCAGCGCGCGGTTATGCCGACGCCGACGCCGACGCCGCTCAACCCGGAATTAGGCGCCTAAGAGCTGAGCTCTAAAAGCCTGCGTACCCACTTCACCCCCCAAACGTCACCACTAGGGAATTCACGCAGTGCCGCCTAGCGTGCGTCAGCATCGACGCTAGTGCGTTTTGCAGCGTCGTATAACGAACGCGAAGCAAGCACACGGCGACGCAAAGACGGATGCGTCTGCCGCTTTGCGACGACTCTCATCGAGCTTCGGCATGTTGGCCGCTTGAAGCGGGTGGGGGTTCACAAATGATGACGTCCCGGACAGGCCTTGTCTTCTAGGGGGTGTTGATAAAAGACCGAAAATTGATTGGTTCGTTGCTACTACCACTCTGTGAGCTTAGCGGCGTCCAGCACCAACTCATCTCTGTGACGTCACGGCGCGGTGGTGGCGCGTCGGTCGCACTTCCGGTCTGGGGCTGTGGGCAGAAGTCCCCATGCCAGACGTGTATTCCTGCGTTGTTTCGAAGGGAACCAGCCAAAAACTTGCCTTCTCGTCAAAACGCCGGGACTGGGGCCATACCAAAAGGGTCGAGAAAGGTTTGAAGGTCAGTTTTCATGTGCTCGATTCGTCCGAGAATCTGGATATGTGCCGTGAAAAGGGAAAAATAGACGCCCTCGGACAACGATTGCTTGGGCGGAAAGCACTTTGGGTTGAATTCACGGATACTTATGGTCATCAGATTTATTTGTTTTGTTCCAACATGAACGCCAGAAAACCATCAAGTTGTGCGACCACCTGCGGACTACGTTCAGTGCGTCAAGTTCAAACGGCCGCCTGATCGTTCGAACTGTCGTCTGCTCTTTCGAACGTTTCTGCTTGTCGTCTGCTCTCTTAGACGACGCCGGCCCATAGACCAAATATGGGCCCGGTACTTGCTATAAGAAGTAAGTGCAGGCCTCAAAAGACTTAGGTTTGAAGGTTTGTAAGCAGGCTCGATGTAAAAAGTAAATACAAGGAGATGTTGATCATTGTTTCCAGTGACCATCAGTGACTTGCTATGCCTAATTGACTTGGTCCGTTTCTGCTTGCCATTTGCAGTATCGATGTTGACCATCTCAATTACGGTTCACGCTTTTGCAGCCCGAGCGGCGTCGCGACTGAAAACTGCGAGCGAAATCTCATCATGCGAATCAGGTTTTAGCGTACATACCGCGGCGTCCACGCGGAATGAATCGCCACATGTCACATGATTCACGCGAAGTTTCGCGGTGTAGCGAGCCTCGGTAATTTCGCTGACGCTGCTCAAGTAGTCAGACATCGCCAGGAAGACGTAGAATCAACAATTCGAACGCGGAAAAGGGCAGGGGGACTCACACCGACGCCGACAACATCGCATTTCAATGGTTTGTTTATGGGCGACGGCGCGCTTTTTGCCCACACCCCCATCGCGCATGCGCGGCGCCGGTGGCGTCCGCTATAGGGGCGCTCCGGTTTGTTTGTAAACATGAGTTGGTGTATATCGAGAAAATTGGTGGAGGATTTTGATCTATAAGGCTGTGATTCCAGGCATACAATATTATTTTAATGACGTCAGGAAGCCATGCGCTATAGGATAAAAAGTAAAAGTGAAGTCCCGTTTCCCGGAGGAAGGCTAGAAGGGAGCGATGGCGCGAGCTATGTGTTTAATTTTGAAACTCTGGTGGCCGGTTAGCAGGAAGGCCCACCCGGCTAAGATGGTGCCGGCGGGTCGCTTGAAGGCCCGTGCACGTCCAGAGGTGGTGCACTCACACGAATGTTTTAGAGCGAAACCTATCCCAAACGAGTAAGACAGCCAGGGAGGATGGAACCACACGACAAAATAAGAGCTGGAGTGGTTCGCCGCAGTGTCTCCTTGCTGAAGGAGCGGTCAACACTACGTATGGCGCGGACAGCCTGCATGGAGTCGGCGTAGTCGGATGCGGGGAGGGCGAAGAGTAGATAAAAGAGTCAAAAGAGCGGTCACGCCGCCCAGAAAGCCGCCAACTCTTCCAGCACCGAGAGCAGAGGGGTGTCCAGGAAGTACTAACACATTTTTTTAACAGCCAAAATAAAGGAGCAAACGAGGCCTGTACGGAGCCGTGAACCAGTTAGACCAGCATCCACGTAGGCTACCAGGTCTGCGTCCTCGAGCACTAATAAGGAAAGAGGAAGCGTAGTGACACCCGTTTGAAGAGAGCTTCGATGAGCCTGCCGGAGGCCGCTTAGACGTTGATTGCCGGTCGCCTGATAATGGCGCCAAGGGGGAAGCGGTGCATCGGAGGAGTCCACTAAGGGTACATGTGGGTTCATGTCATGTACCAAGGCACCTGCCGCTGGAATTACACCGAGCTTCACGGTCCGGACTTGACGTCTTCAATGGATAAGTTTGCCCAATGTGTTAAACTGCGCCGCAGTCTAAAGTGTCAGGATCGGTGTTAGCCGGGGGAGGGCCCTGTTACGACTGGCTTCCTCAGCTCCGTCCTAGAGTTCGCCTTCACCTGTTACCAACGGCGCTGGACAGACACGTTCAGATTCCTGAGATCGGCCCTTGAATCGTCGGGCCGGTGGTGGCCTTCGCTGGGGGCTTTAAACTAAAAAATAACGTCTTCCAGAGGCCACGAGACCATCTGGAATCGCGGGCCCTTCGCTAGGAGAAACACCGGCGTACGTGTGCGTGCCTGTGTGTGTGTGGGTCTGTTGGTGTTGGGTTTCAGCAAGAACGTCGACTCCTTACATCAGCCACCGGAGCGCGGCAAGAACGTCGAGGGATTACATCATCTGCGTCTCGCTGAAAGAACGCCCGGAAATTGCCTCAGCCAACCCCGCACTTCGGACACCTCGTGAACATTGGAACACCGGGGAAGGCTCCTCTCTCTCAGAGGGCCTTCTCGCCCTCGGAGGGTTATATAGCATGGGCTCAGAGAGCCCGAAGCCGCCGACTGCA